ACATCTAATGCAGTAAAGGTGTATACTCATCCTCGTCTTTGAGTTTTTAGCTGTTCTTTATAAATAGGCAGTTACGGATCAGATGTTGTTGGCTACCACACTTAAAACAGGATCGAGTGACACGATGGCACTGTTAATATCATGATTCTTTCCACAAGTACAACAGACCGGTGCCTTACCAAGAGTTGATGGTGGTCTAAGAGATATCTCTGTTACCATTCTGGGTCTCTTATCTTTTGACCTAAACCCTAAAATCTTTCTTCTCAGAGGTACCGTGAGTCTAGAACTACCTATTTTGGAGGATGAACCCCTAAGTCTACTTTTTACTATTTTTGCTTTCGCCAAAACTTCATCATAAGTATTCAATTCTAGAACTGCAAGAGCATCCTGAATCTCTAGGCGTAGCCCCCACTGAAATTTTCTCACCCTCTGCCCTTCATCAGTCAGAATAGTTAAAGCAAAACGGGTCAATTTAGTTAATCTTCAAGCATATTCAACCACTAACAGGTTTTCCTAAGTGAGTTATATGAACTCTAATATTTTCTGATGTTGGAGTCGTGTTGGAAAGTACTCAGCGTTGAACGCCCCTAGAAATCTCTCCTAGGCGATGGGAACAGGTAAGTAGTCTGTCTGAATTTCTACTAACAGTCAGCTTCACCCATAAGCAGGTACGTAGCCAAGATCACTTTCTATTCAAAAGTCACCCCCAAAATTCAGAATGCCTTTTCAATTTCTTTCAACTATCCTTCAGCTTCAATACAATTCTTGGTATCAGTAAATGTAAGAGGATGGAGTTTTAAGAACTTTCTATGACAGTCTGGATCCATAACGACTGGTTCTAGATTGTATGGAGCCTGTACTGGAAGAGGGCCAAGTATCCCTTCTCCAAGTTGGTTAACAAGCTTCTCTACCATGTGGTATAATTGGTTAATATGCTCTTGTAAGGACATGTAATCGGGAGGTTACTCCAGTGGAATCTGTTCATGTCTCATCTTACAACCCTTCATTCAAAAAAGAATGAATTAGAACATTTTAAATAATGTTTCCTGCTTCTCAACACCCCAATAATCCAAAAAAATATCATATTTAAACTCTAAAATCTCATGCACAAGGGATGATTTTATGAATGTGGGCTTTGATACTACCTGTCACGCTCCGATACTCAATATGATGCGCAATTTTTACTTATACCATTTTCATGTAGTGGACCCACAAAATATACATATACACATATACAAAAATTTATAATGTAGCCTAGCATCCCAAGCAATATGTACATTAATTATATATACAAAACATGATATCTAAATTTAAAATCTAACAGAACAAAATAAAAATTCTTGAATATGCACAAAATGTACAAAAATAAGGCCTTTTTATAGGTTCTATTCGTTTGGCAGCAGTACTGCCTCCTCATTCTCCTTTGAAAAATATTATGGTAAAATTTAATGAGTTTCACTAACTTTAATAAGTATTACTGTTCTTTCAACCCAGATAAAATTTCATATAAAACATATGATAAGAAACAAAAACAATAAAAATGTTTTAGTGCAAAATTTATTTTCTTATCTTCACTATTTCACATGTTTTTGATCAATCTTCTGAATTCTCTTGAATATCATATGCAAACCTCGAATGTATATCCTCATACTCTTGAAAGTCATAAATGCACCTGAATATCAATCATCGTTTCAAGACATAATCACACACACACAAAAGATCATAGATACACTTGAAAGATCATTTCTATAGTTTTATCGAGCGATGTCGTTTATGTCGTCATCGAGGAAATGTGAAATGGATCCCCCCATCACATGGATAACACACACATACAAATCTTACAATAGCCACAGTAGGTATGTTTATTAGGTGACCCACACTCATAAATACCTATCCACGTCTGGATTAGGTTTCAGACTCTATCCATGTGGATGTTCACCATGCCCGCTGAACTTCAGCCACACATACACATTTCTCTCCTCGATTCAGACTAAACGAAAAGGTATTCAGGGTCCCTACTTTATTCATTCATACCCTTTCATTCTAAAATTCTTATCTACTTACCTCTTATTGTGCTTTTCTCTTAATTTTATTTAATTGATCATTTCACAACCTCAATTATTTTTTTTCCTTTCTATTTTTACATTTTTGTTTTATTTCTTTTTCTTTTTTAATTTTTCACTTAATTAGAAATTTTCATTAATTTTTAATTTCGTATCTCATCATAGTCCAAATAAATTCTCAGTCTTCTGGATTTGTTGTCTGATTTCGTCTCCTCATAAATTTTCAATTGCTTAAGTTCACTAGTTATAAATTTAGATTCTATTTTTTATTAAAAATTGAGTTAGTGTCCGTTCAAATTTCAATATTCATAATTTAATAAAATGAATACACTTTTCGAAATTCAAACACGGTTGAGATTTAAAAATACTTACACTGCTACGTATCTTTCCGAATTTGCCTGAACATCCTAATTTTCCTGTACACATAACATAAATTAATTAAAATACTTTGAAATACTAAAAATTATTTAATTGAATTATGAGTTTCAACAACCACCCAATGGAATATCTAAAATTATTAGGATCCGTACCTAGAAAACTTGTCAGCTTTCCATTCAGCGAATCAGATTCTCATTTTCGAAAAAGACTTTTCAGCTTTTCAAGCAGCAAATTGAAATCCCAAAAGGCAATTCTGGCTCTATTCCCACGAAAGACTCTTTGGCTTTTACAGTGAGTGGGTTTCCCTATTATCGAGGGAACCTCTTCGGTTCCCGCACGAGTGGGTGGCCTGACTGAGCCCGCGCGGCCAGCTCGACACCAGTCCCGCTCCACCACTGCTCAAACCACCACCAAAACACGAAAACAGAATAATTTTACCTTCGGTGCGAGCGATTCGGCCTCGGTTGGCTCCCGATCGTCTCCTCTCAGCCACCTCATAGCTCCCTAGCTTGCTTGAGGTTCGGATGGTGATTTCTCAAACCTATAAACCGATTAGTAAGCAAATTAAAAGAATCTAATGAAATAGAAAGAGAAGAACGAAAAAAAAAGACAAAACTTACCTTTGCTCGTGTCGGTCTCCGCCTTCGCACGACGTCTCAGTAATTTTCCTTCCCTTCTTCTTCTTTTCGGCTTTAAACTCCACCAATCACCACCTCCTCAATTCTCTCTCTTCTCTTCTGCAATGGCTGTTCTCGACTCTCTCTACCTTTCCCGCTCAACCACGCCTTTTTCTTCCCTTTCTTTTTTTTTTCCTTTCCCTTATTCCTTTTTAGCTTCTCTCCTCCTTTCCACTCTATTTTCTGTCTCTCAGCTTTCCCGCACGACAACACTCTTTTTCCTTCTCTCTCCGATCACTCCTCTTTTTTTTTCTCTCTCTCTCTCTCTCTTTTGGCTATTTTTCAAAATGAAGAGAAAACTCTAATTTTTCCCTTTTTATACTCATTTGTCCCAACCGTTGGATCTTTCTAACTTGATCTAGATCGTCAATTTTCTTTTAAATCTCCTCCAGCGGTCTGATCTGTGCTGTCCATTTTTCTTATTTTCTTTGCCCCCTTTCAGTTCTCCTTATTTATATTTTTGCTCCTCTTTTTCTCACATTCTTTCATTTAAATTCTAATTCTAATTTTATTGATTTATTTTATATTTCTTTTTTTTTTCTTTGGGTGGATGTTACATTGTACCTCTTAAAAGATATAGTTGAGTTTCAGCTCATAGATGTTTATTAAATAAACGTAACTCCCTTGCTCAAGGCTTGAGAAAGGTGGATGATGGAAACAAATAAAAGACTTGACATGATAAATAACCTTTTACAACACATACAGAAACTATGAACTCCTCAAAATCACCTTTACAAAGATGAAGTGATGGCATAATTAACCAATGTTGATCTCTTATTTTGGAGTTCATCTCACCTAAAGAGGATTTTTCCTTCTATTTAAATTTGAGTAGATCTTTATCATTCCTCTTAGTATCAGAAAACCAAGTGATAAATTAATGTTAAGGCATATAAAGTCAAGGACTTCAATATTAACACAAGCTAAACTCATTGAATAGAGAAATAAATACACCAAGTCAATTTTACCACTTCTTCTAACTCATCTTTTATTCATTTAGAAGCAACAAGTTTTACATAAGGCCAACAATTAACACAGAGAACGCCATGGACTGAGCTTTTCAATTAAAGAACCATAAAAATTAAATTTATAATATTTCATAAAAGGACAAAACCAAATAGGTCAGATAAAAAGTATAACTTTTATAAAAGATAAAAAGAATCGGAACTCTAAAGATCATTTATGGGTAAGTACATATTCTATTCTACTTTTAACTAAGAAATTTTTAAGCTAATGGATCAAGTCATAAACTAGCCAATTGATGAGATTTATTATCAAAGATATACATCAATTTTTATTTTTATTTTTATTTTTTACTTTTTGTAAGGAGCACATTCTTATTAATCTATTGTTAGAAAAGATCTTCAAAATTAGGAGATGTTTGATAATAGAATATATATATATATAAGAATTAAGAAATATACATATACATATACATATATATGTATATGTTTAGTGACCATGTCAAGCAATAAATTAAAAGAAGTAAAATAATTTAAAAAAAAAACTGTACGTGTTTGAAGGTTTTCGGCTAACTTTCCGAATTTCTGATTCTAAATAATCACATGTGTAGTCAAAATTAATTTGTAAGCCTTAGTAGTTTAGCCTTTTACTCGTATTACGTTTAATGTTATTTTCAATATAAACCTTTCTCCTGTCAAAACAAAATACCACGTATTTTCTCAAAGGTCCAACATTCAACCCGACCCCAATAAATCAAAACCAGAACACATCATATTTCGCTACAAGACATACATATATATATATATATGTATGTAGACACCCTTTTCTCATAGTTCCATAATCTTATCATCTTATAATTACCAAATCAAACCACAACAAACCAATTCCGATCCCGTCATTAAAACCTAATTAATTCATGTCCATGCAGCGTTTTCTTCAGTTATCTGCAAACAGCTTGAAGAGAAGGTCGTGTGATGTGTTCATCAACCATCGATGCGTAGATACAAGAAGAACCATTTCAGGATTGCTGTATGATCATTTGCATCGTCTGGGTCTAAACCCTTTTCTGGATACCAAGACCATGAAGCCTGGAGATAAGCTCTTTAACGAAATTGATTCCGCCATTATCAACTGCAAGCTTGGAATCTCTGTGTTTTCGCCTAACTATTGTGATTCTTACTTCTGTCTCCATGAGCTCGCGCTTCTCATGGAATCCAAGAAGAAAGTTATTCCGATCTTCTGCGATGTCAAGCCGTCGGAATTGTCCGTCCGGGACGACGGAACTTGCAGTGCGGATGACCTCCGGAGGTTTACCTGGGCTCTGGAACAGGCTAAATACACCGTCGGAGTCACATTTGATACTTCTCAAGGGTAAGTATATATCTACGTATATTTGTGTGTGTGTGTTTTTGTATATATGCACCTTCATTAAATTTCCTTTTTGGTCAGGCAAAAGGGTCTGATCCCTGATCCCTGATCTCTCTCTCTCTCTATATATAACATACATATATAGATTTGGTATCATGTTGATCACGATAAGTATATATATTCATGCGTTGAACAATGATTCTTTGATGTTTGAACTAATTATTCTGCTCCTACCAATTAGTTTTTAACTCAATCATATATATTCAATGCAGGGATTGGGCGAATTTCTTGGCTACAACTACGGATGCAGTGACAAGAAATTTCTTGGAGCTTCACGGAATGAAAGCCGAAAGGAACAAGATTTTTCTTATTCGGAAATTAGATCATTTCCTGCATTCATCAAGGAAATGAAATTGAAGATTATAATTCTTAAATTTCTTTAATTATTTTTTGTTTACTTAATAACCCAGTTAATTCATTCAATTATTCTTTATTTCTTTGTAAAGGAAGCAAAATTAGGGATCCCCAGAGTTTATTTATGTTGTCTGTATAATTCTATTTTTGGATTACTTTTGATTATACAAATCAAATTGTATATGTTCAATAAGAATATTGCACATATAGAAGCCTTTAATTTGTAAGACTATGTATCTTTGCCATGAAATTTGCATGTAACAACTTCAAGCTTCAATAATAAATTCACTTTGTTTTATTTGTTATATTTATTTTCAGTGAATCAATTTCTATACATGTCAATTAATTTTTAATCTTTTGTAAACATGGTATTATGTTTCTATTAATGATTTACCAAAATTTTAAATTACTTAATACAAATTTGTATATTAAATTTTGTAATTTGCTCTTAATATATGTTATCGTAGATAAGTTATAATACTTTCAATTGGATGTTCACTTATTAGCAAAAATAATAAATTACTTTTCAAAAAAGATACAATTTTAAATTTTGTCAAGACAACTTTAGTAGAATAAAATTTTAGTCAAAAGAAAATAGTACATAATATAATAAGATATTCCTTATAAAAAATATCACTTTAATTATTCAAGGTTCCAATATTATGTAATCGTTTGTCAAATATAGTAGTAAGGTTTTGAAAATCATGCTTGAAAATACTTTTAGTGAAATGTATTTTATTAATCTACCTTTTTTAATGTATCATTGATTCATTGGTTTTAGTAGGTGAATCGAGGACCATTCAAAAGGGAGAGGGATGAATTGGGTTATAAAATTTTCAAGATTTTAAGCACACTTCCCAATTCTTTCTCAACTTTTGGACTAGCTATATAAAATATATTAGTCTTCGTTGTATGATTGTATAGAAAATGTCTAAGATTTAGTGAAGTTCGTTTAAGTTAATTAAGTATTTATGAAAAGCAAAGATGATATGCATAAATGAGAACAACCAAAAATGTTTATGATCAATTCTATATATGCATGTACGGTGTGAGTAATAGTGTGATATTATATAATGATATACAATAAGAGAGTGTAAACTCTTTTATAAAGATTTGTCTACACCATTGTGCTTATATCCTCTTTCTTAAGCCAACAACTTAAGTGTTTTTTTATTTTCTCGGTGGCTCTCAAGCGGATAAAAACAAGTATTAAAAAATTATTATTATAACCACCATAATTGTATTTACCCCATTTTCACCACGTCAATATCTATAATCATATCCGCAATTATAATCTCATTCGCTCCTAAAATTATCGAATATTATCGCATTTACTTCAGGGAATGAGGTAGAATCAAATTGAATAAACTTCGTGATTTTTTTATTAACACTTCAGCGTTTCATTTACCTATAAGAAGATTCAAATCTTTGTGAAAAGAAAATATTTTTCTTGATGTTGATGCTACAAACACATTTGAGACACAGAAAGTAGATAATGTGTACGTATGTTCACCAAAGTAATACTTTCTCCTCATAATTTTAATTTAAAGCTTGTGTGAAATATTTTAGAGTTATATTCTCTTATATTTCAAAATATAGCAATCAAATACATATATATATATATATATATTTTTTTTGTGTTGTTGAAAGAATTACTACTCTTTTATGATTATAATGCTCTCTCAAATTTATTCAAGCTTCAAAAGAATATTTTATTATTAGACACTCAATTTTTAATTCATTATGGAAATGCTAACAAAGGAAAATGAAATTTTTTTAAAGCATTAGAACGAAATACAAAACAATTAAGTGAAGAACATAAGAAAATGACAAGAAGTTTTCTTCAAATTCTTCACCATACATCACAAAATTTTTAAAACAATTATTTATATATTTACATAAAACAATAAATTAAATATAAAAATATATTAAAAGTCAAATATATTATAGAATAAGGAGATATGAAAATTCATTGAGTTATACATTTCTAAAGTTGATAGTAATTCATGCATGTTATACGGCAGACATATTTTAGTTTATTTTTTAAGTAAAAATTTATATATTTTATTAATTAAATTACACACACATACACACGTGTGTTTATATATATAAATACGAAAAATAATACAATATTGAATAAAAATATACCAAAAAAAAAACACCAAAATAAATAAATATATAGTTATAATAAATATAATTAACACCGACTATAATTATATAATTATAATAAAATATTATATGTTTTAGTTGATGTAGAATTCACAGAAGGCTTGAGGATGAATCCATGAAATTTCAGTGATAAATGTCGGACGGTTCACTTTTCATAGAGAGACGCATTTACTTGTCGGTAACAAGTACGCCGTGTCACCATCTAGATATAGATATAGATATAGATATAGATATAGATATATATATATGTATATATACATGTATGAAATTATATTTAATTAATTAACGAATTGCAACTTTAATTTCCTCGACGTGTGGTCACCCTTAAAAAGAAAGTGGCCGTAATTTTCATGGGGATTTAACTTACATTAAATATATAATCTTAATTAATTAATTAAGTAATTAGTATGAACTTTTTATTACAAAATCAAATTTAATAAAACATTGGCGTATTAAAACCGAAAACGTACCACCAGCACGAGTCAAAGGTGCATCTACTTAAATGTATAATCTCTAATATTTTATTTAAAAACACCCTACAAAAAGTAATATATATATATATAAAATATGTAAGATATCCCTTTCAAATCTTTACATAACTTACAATTGAAGTTGTTTGGATTCAAGCAAGAACATAAACTTTCTAGGTAAATTCAAGCCTCCAATTTTTAATTTGTGGAGTTATTATACTGAGTACCCATATGTAATTGGTATAATTAAAGTTATATAACATGCATAAGTATACATATTTGAATTTTACGTGGACTTCTAAAGTTCTATATAGTTGTAAGTCTAACACTTCAATATTGAGATTAAAAAAAAAAAGAGGTAAACCATTCTCTGGCAGTCAAAATCAAATTTACCACAGTATGTATATATATCTTCTTACTGTTAGAAGTATAAAAAAAAATGTGATTTTCCCACGAGATAATTCGGGCGGGAGGCAAAAGCAGAATCTTTTTTCATACCTAACAAGCTTAATTTGTCTCGTCACCGACAGCCATGCCCATGATCTGCCTGTCCTGTAAATAAAAATTGCAAGGTTGAGATAGAATCACATCTTATTATTTACCAACACCCACATCTTCAATTTAATATCTCTCTATATATATATATATATATATGTATGTATGTATGTATATTTAGATACGCGGTACTCCTCCTTTTTTATTATTATTATTTTTTTAATGATGAAAGTGAAATCTTCCATGTAAGATTTGAAACCAAGCACTGATTAATGGTGCTGGGACACATGACCAGCAGGCTGTGCCTTCGTACTATTTGATATATATGTATATATTGATATATATCTTTCTGGGTATAGCTTAATTTGTGTATCATACTTACAGGACAATGACAATTATTATTAAAGTTACAAGCTTTTTCTTTGTTCTTGATCTTCTTTCTCTTCTTCTTCCTCTCGATGATGTTCTCTGGATTAAAAAGGTAACTGCTGGGAACATTAGCAACGGCAACACCAATGAAGATTACACTCAATTCCTCCTCGCCAATGGCGTGGCTCGTACTCCTCCGATGGGGTATTGTTCTCCTTCTGTCCTTAGGGTTCATATGTCAATGATCAAGAGGTGTTCGATCATTTGTCTGATTGATTTTTCTTGCAGATGGAACAGCTGGAATCACTTTCAGTGCAATATAAACGAGGAGACTGTGAAGAGTACAGGTATCCCCTTCTCCATGGCTTGTTACACGTGCATATACTGTCTGTATATATGTATACAAGTGTTAATATATATGTATCTACAAGCTGGGTTATTAAAGAATTTCTCTTATTATCTGAATTGGGTGTTACCTTACTTGCTACTTAAAATGTGATGAGGAATTCTGTTATTTATTCTTTTTTAATTCATGTGGTTGAATTATTGGCAATGGAACTCTTATAAGTTAAGTTTAAAAGTCTTACTGGAATATTTTATTTTCTTGTAGTGAATTGATAATTAAAAGAATCAATCTTGATTTCTTCTAGCTCTGTTTGACTTGTTTTTTCTCAATATGATATATGGATTCTTGTTAATTTAATTAGTAAAATTAATAAGTTTCTAACACCAAAAAGAAAAAAAGACTACATATATACCTCTGTCACTCTTATGTAGGAGATGAGAGAAAATTAATTAAATTCTTTTGTTTTGAACAGGTCCAAATCTGAAACCGTTTACTTAGATGCATGTATGATGCCTATATATCCTATTTCATGGGTTGTCTTTGAACTATAGAATTCAAGCTTGAAGACTGCCTTGTTGATTTTCTGATTGAATTTGAAACTTGAATGAGTCAGACCTGCTTTTAAGACTCAGAAACTGAGTTAGGAATTCCCAGATCCAATTTTCTGCTTCCAATTAGCCGGACAAGTCGTATTCTAGGAATTCAAGTACTGAAGGGTCTTGGTCATCACCAAAATGTTCTTAATTTGAGATTATTACATAACAGTTTTTTAGTTATATCTTTCTCTTTACATTGGTATTGTCAGAATCACATGATCCAATAAGCCTAAAAAGAATTATGTTATATGGGTAGTATCGGAATCACATGATTCAGAATCTTTGGTCTTAAATATATTATGTTCCGCCATTAAACCTCTTCACTTCTCTTTAATTTCAAAGAACAGCAGATGCACTGGTTTCAACTGGTTTGGCAGCACTTGGATACAAATATGTAAATATTGGTATGCACCAAGAATAAGCTTTCCCCTTTTCCTTCACCTTCATCTCCGGAAAGAATCGTTAAAAGTCTCCATTTGATGACCAATTTATAGCATTTCCTAAATTATTGTGAAAGAGCAGATGATTGCTGGGGAGAAGACAGCAGAGACTGGAGGGGTAACCTAAGGCCAAAAGCTTCCACATTTCCTTCTGGAATTAAGGGCCTCGCAGATTATGTTCATGCCAGAGGCCTAAAACTTGGGATTTACTCCGATGCCGGGTAAACACTTGGAGATAGTTAGGATTAACTGCGATCATCACGAGTTGAGATCCATTGCAGACTATAAACAGCTCTTTAATTTCTGTAGTTATGATTGATTTACAGTTATAGAACCTGCAGCAACACAATGCCTGGCTCTCTTGGGCATGAAGATCAAGATGCAGCCACCTTTGCTGAATGGGTCGGTGTTTCTTTTCTGCTGCAAAACAGATTGCTTTGTGATGCTAAAAAACTTCAATTCAGGCTTTTAAGGGTATTTATTGCAGGGGGTTGATTACTTGAAATATGACAACTGCTATAATGGTGGCTCTAAACCTCAAGAAAGGTATAGTTCCAGCTCCAAAGTTCAGTTTCGACTTGCTGATCTCCAAATGACTACTATCAGTACACTCTTTAGAAAATGAGCATGTGGGTCATTATTTACCAGACCTGATGGATTCTCTTTCAACACTCGTGGCAGGTACATTAAGATGAGTTATGCTTTGCGTAAAGTTGGCCGACCAATCCTTTATTCTCTTTGTGAATGGTAAGTTACCTGAATTTTCTGATACCTTTTTTAGTGCTCATGTTTTTTTTTTTATTCATTGTGGACAACGAATTGCTTGGCATTTTTTTATATGTCTCCATATCATCTTTCCCTATGCGAGTGGCTTAACTTGTCTAACGAATTCATAGAGAGATATTTGCTTGTAGGGGACAAGAAGATCCTGCAAGATGGGCTGGTCAGTATGGAAATTCCTGGAGAACTACAGGAGACATCAATGACACTTGGGCCAGGTCATATGTTCTTTATATTTTCACTATCCGATCCTAGTTCATGATAAGATCCAGATCATAAATTGGTTGGTTTCACTGAATTTCGTTTTCTGTTGTTTCAGTATCACCTCAATTGCAGATCAAAATAACAACTGGGGAAGATATGCAGGACCCGGAAGATGGAATGGTGGGAACTAAAAATTGAGTCGTTTTCTCACTAGACATGATCAAAATAGTTTTCTCTTTTCTTTTGTCTTTTGATACAAAAAATGAAGCTGATCTGATGTGAAAGTTAAAACTGTAAACTGATGTAATAGATCCTGATATGCTGGAAGTGGGAAATGGAGGAATGAGCTTGGATGAATATCGTTCTCATTTTAGCATCTGGGCTCTAATGAAAGTCTGTCTCCCTATTTCTTGACCTTTCTCAGAGTCATTCATGCAGCTATGGCTAATAAGCTAACAAGGTGGTAATATGGCAGGCTCCTTTACTGATTGGGTGTGATCTACGATCAGTGAGCAGAGAAACGCTTAGTATCATTGGAAACAAGGAGGTGATAGAAGTTAATCAAGATCCACAAGGAATTCAAGGAAGAAAAATAAGATCAAAAGGCGACTTGGAGGTACAATTGTCATCTGGAAAGTTGAAACTAATATAAATGCACATTGCTTTATTATCTATATTCTAACAAATGGCAACTTAAAAAGCATTATTATTGGGTTGAAAATGCTGCAGGTTTGGGCAGGACCATTGTCGAGGGGAAGATTAGTAGTCGTAATGTGGAACAGAAGCAATGCCAGGGCTGCAATATCAGTAGCATGGAGAGAAGTTGGAATCCCTCCATTAAAACCAGTTATTGTCAGAGACCTTTGGGCGGTACGTTAAATATTGTTTGTCGAAGTTGTATTAAGTTGAGCAAACAGCTGTTAAATCTGTTTTCACCGGATTTAATCATAAATAGAATATAAATACTGAATCATCTTATTTTTTCGTACAAAATTTTGTAATGAAAACATGTAATTTGGGATTATTTTGCAGCATTCATTTGTTTATATGAGTAAGCAGTATCGGATGACAGCCTATGTTGCTCCTCATGGATGCAAGATGTATATCTTAATCCCGGCCTAGACGATATGTTATAGAAACAGCTTTCTTGTTTCTGAAGCTGCTTTTCGAGTTAAGGTAAATGAAAGATGGAAGATTATTTGTAATATTTCGAATATCAACAGTATAATTTTGGCTCTTGAATGCCCTGTTTGCTTAAGAAAAAAGAGGAGATATAATTGATATTGCACCTTTATCTTCATTAGTGAAGTAGAAAGAAACCTGCATGTTTCTGCAGATGATGAAAACTGCTTTATAAGTGTGATTGTATGATATATATTTTGTTTCTTTTGATATAACAAATGGGAATTGTTTAATGAATTGTCTCCATAATCCAAGGAGCAATGCATATTGTGCTAGTACAACTGAAATGATATATATATATATATATATATATATATACACCCCTCCCCCCCTACACGCACGCGCAGATGTAATTACACATACATTTGTATATACATAGACATATACATATACATATACATAATTATATTATGTAGAACAAGTGAATGTAATGCAAGGTTGACGGGCATCCCAACCCAGTTGTTGTGAGGAAAAACAAGCGAGTTGGCAAATGCTGAACTAATTGAAAACAACGGACAGAGCAAGGAGACGTGTGTGCATGCCACAATCTGGACAAATCTTAAAGGTCAAAGATTTTCAGGGGACAGCCTATGTCAATCCTGCACACACATATATATATATATATGCATATAAAATTCCTAATAGTATCATCCTTTACACTCCCATCACCAATTGCACATACATATTCTGCATACACATACATATACATATACACACACACACACACACAAACACATGCTCATATCCGTATATAATAATGGACATTTACTTCTAACCCCTCAATATATATATATATATATGTGTATATATACATGCATATATAGAAATCATTTGTTTAAAATATTTTAGCTTCAAAATTAATTATGGAATTAATGAATTGCCTAATATTTGGTCCTGAAAACAATTTGAACCAGAACAATTAATTAAATATCTTCCCTCTGTACCTTCAAGCTTCTGCCCAGTTATATATAATTTACCAATTTTAAAATTTTCTTTTGGATTTATTTGTATATAAATATTAAATTTTAAAATTATGAAAAACTAAATTGCATAATGTACATAACTTGAAACTTAGACTTCAAAATTATTATAAAATTACATTTTACAATTATTTTTAGATTTAAAATATTAGTACATTTTTTTTATAGAACAAAAAAGACAAACTATAAACAATTAGAAGGAAGAAAGAACTAAAAAAATGTCAATATCAAATGATATTATATAAATTATATATTCAAAAGGATTCATATTCTATAAATAAAGATACTTGGTAATAGATATATTGATGCAATTCTTAAATCCTAATTATGGTCATGTTTATATATTGTCGTTCAATAATAGAAAAAAACGAGATAATAACTCAAGACCTAACTTCAAGAATATATACATAAGATCTTAAATGAACGTTTTATTCTCTCTTTTAATTCTCGAGTCATCGAAATCAACACGTTCAATTCGAAAAATATAAATTAATCTTGTTTTAATTTTAATACATAGTACTAAGTACCTATTAATACTAATATCGAAATCAACTTCAAGTTATTTAGTAAAAATTTATTGTATAATTAAAGTTACTTATACATCATTTCCATATCTACTCCGTTATTGAAACCATGTTTCACTCCTTTAACGTGGTTAAACACCTCCTTTCTTTGACTTTATTATTATTATTTATTTAAGCACAATGTATTTAATTATATATATGTGTATCTATAGATGTGTGACACATGCACTCTTGCACTGTAATTGAGGTAGAAACCCCTATAGCATGCAAATTAGATTTAAAATAATTGACACACCACTGGGACCCACACCTACATATCACGTACAGTTCATCAGTGGACTTGAAGGGACTAATGATAGAAAACACATGTGATTAAACTTTAATTAATCAACTTATTAGTTTAAACACATGCAATTTTGAGTTCAATTTGCCCAATCTGTGATTATATTACATGTCACCTGCAGAAAACTACATCCAACTGATAGACTCGCAATTAATATACATATATATATATATAATAAAATCATAATTTTTCATATATGTATGTGGGTTTATGCACCCACACACACATACATATATATATATGTATATATGTATATATGTATATGTATATATATATATATATATGAAAGAGTAGTGATAAACTCCAAAAGAAGAAGAGCTATCATGGAAAGTAAACAAACCCAAGAACCATTTCTCTCATATAAGCCAAGACAAATTATTAAAATCTTTTGACAGGGCAATACATCATTCATTAACTCACATGCACCACATATTTTATTTAATATTTATTTAATTTATTAATGTTTATATCTACTCAGAAAAATAAAAAGTCAAAAAGTCAAAAAAAAAAAAATCATATTATGTTCTAATTATAATTAAAATTCTATTTTAAAATATTATAATTTATTTTTTGTGGGTAATTTCAAGTGATCAAAGTAAATAATTTTTTTTAACTCTAATCAATGTTTTATTTATTGGAGAAGATTACTATGACATCTCACAAGCTACCATTCTCAAAACAAAAAAAAAAAAAAAAAAAAGATAAAAGCATATATAAAATTTTTATACAATCATAAATTTGTGTTCTTATGCATTAAACATGAAGAAAAAACATTAAATATTTTAAAATACTAATTAAGTCAAACAAATTTGAACTTGAAATTAACCAAAGGGTTCCTAATTAAACTTCAAATTTAAGATCTCTCTACATTATGGTTTTATTTGCCTTGATGACCCTCAAAACTCTAATTTAAGAATAAAATTTGTTTGACTTTGGATAAATATTAATTTAATTACTCATAACCCATAAAAAAAAAAAAAAATTACTTCATCCATAATTAATATATTATAATTTGCTACCTCAATTAATTTGACATCCACAAAATCAACTAGAAGGATTTCTTCATCCCTTCAAAAAAAATACATATATATATATGTAAATTCCAAACGAATTATGTGTTGTTATTATGAAATTGTTTTATTTTTATCACATATCTTTCGAATAAAATCACGATCCCATGTTCCCTTGACTTTCTTTCATGGAGAGTTGCTTTGGGAACCATGAAGTTCATGATAATTAATGAAAATATGTAACATATATATGTAACGTATGGTTTGGGGAATACATGTATGCGTGCGGTGGACATACATGTGTGTATATATATATATATATGTGTGTGTATATGTATCTAAAATTAGTTCTATGAAGGCATAAGAAAAGCATGACAAGGAAAGCGTCCGGGAATTTCCACTCATCCTCCGACCCCCAAAACCTGCCTTCCCCCAATTTATTGCATTTTGCCCGCATGTGGGTTCCCACCAACTCGATTCCACCACGTGTCACCATCTCCACCCCAGAAATCTCCACGTGTCGCTTTATCAAAGGAGGACCCGTTTGGCATTTTAGGCCCCGCACCTAACACAAAACCCACTACCCGAAAACCCATAACCCGCCCCGAATTACTCACCAATTAACATTACAACCTCAATAGTCTCCGTTCCCATACACCTTTACACACACCCATTATTTTTCATCCTCCTTTTCTGGTTCCTCTCTGAAAATTTTCAGAAATCTTGAATCAAGATCAGTAGGTCTAACATGGAGAGTACGGACTCATCGTCGGGTTCTCAGCATCCACAGTTGCCACCCGGATTTCGATTTCATCCCACAGATGAAGAACTGGTTGTTCATTATCTTAAGAAGAAAGCTGCTTCGGCTCCTCTCCCGGTGACAATCATTGCAGAGGTTGATCTTTACAAGTTTGACCCGTGGGAGCTTCCAAGTAATTATCACTTAACACACACACATATACATATATATATAATAACTGGGTTTTTTTTTTATTTTAAAAAAATGGAATAATAGATTGGTCTCTTGAATTTTTATATAATTTTGACAGGTAAGGCGACGTTTGGGGAGCAAGAATGGTATTTTTTCAGTCCAAGAGATAGGAAGTATCCTAATGGAGCAAGGCCAAACAGGGCAGCAACTTCAGGGTATTGGAAAGCAACTGGGACTGATAAACCTATTTTGACATGTAAAGGAAACCAGAAGGTTGGTGTTAAAAAAGCTCTTGTCTTCTATGGAGGTAAGCCTCCAAAAGGTATCAAAACTAATTGGATTATGCATGAGTATCGTCTGGTCGATGGCAATCCCGTTGGTTCTAAGTCTCATCCTTCTGATTCACCCAACAAGAAATCATCTTTAAGGGTAACACCCATTAATCAAAACTTGATTTTTCTTTATTTTGTGCTCTTGGGTCGATTTGATTTGTGTATATGTTTATATGTGTATGTATGTGTAGCTCGACGATTGGGTGTTATGCCGGATTTACAAGAAGAACAACTCATCACAAGGGACATTAATGGAGAGAGAGATGAAGGAGGAATCAATGGAGGGTATGGTTGAAACGGTGCCAATTATTACTACTTATAGTCATCAAAACCTAAAGACTAAAAACACATCATGTTATGGTTCATTAATGGTTGAGAATGATGAGAATTTCTTTCATGGCATATTATCATCATCATCATCCGGAGATCATCATTATCATCATCATCATCATCATCATCAACAATTGGCTTCTTCAACCTCAAAGCCGGCTGATAATTCTATCTCCATCCCTTCTGTCTCCAACACCAACACTACCACCATAAAACGCCCACTTCAACCTCCTCCTCATCAGAATTACTGGAATCATCATCAATATCAAGCAGGATCAATCGGGTCTTCATCGTCCAGCAAGCGATTTCATGGTGACCTGAACATCAATGGAGGTGGCAGCACTGGAAATGATCATGATCATGATCACGACCATGATCATGATGATAATAACAGCTCTTTCATTTCTCTTCTTAATCAGCTTCCACAGTCTTCAATGGTGCATCCCAACTCCATCATTGGGTCACTGGGAGATGGTGTCTTGAGGCAACAATTTCAACTTCCAAGCATGAATTGGAATTCATGAATTTGGTATTCTGATACAGTGCTGTTATTATACCATCATTATTACACACATGAATCTGCAATTAATCAAAGATTATATACTTCACGAAGCTCCACGACGCCTTTTCATGCCTTCCATCAACTTCAACTATCTTTCTTCCTTCTGTTTTTGGATCGATTACAGGTGAGTTACTTATTATATAGTATATATAATTGAATTTGTAATATTAAAATTTTTAAAAACATTTCATATACGTGCTTTCTGTTTAATTTGGTATATATACATATATATATATAGATTTAATGTATACTTATACATATTATTAATTAAATACCAATATGGATAAGCGTTGATGATGATGTTCAGCACGATTTTTGTGTTACATTCGTGATTATAAATTTCATAATTACGCTTCTTAATCTTTACCAATTAATAAATTAACATACTTAATAAACATTAATTTCTTATTATACGTAATTCCAGGGGAAGATATTCTGATTTGGAATATTAGTATATACGTACAAGATTCTTTTACAACGCACATGAAAATGATTCCAAATTAATGAAAATATATAAATTAAAGGACATTACCATCGAAAATGAATTATCTACATATACATATATATATATATATATATATATCTTGTTCCAGTACTTTTGTGTAATTACCATAATTTGCAGGCAAATGGAGGTAATCGGCTTATGGACGAATTATCGAATTATCACTTTTTAAGGTCAATTTGCTTTTCTGTAATAGTAATTAATTAATTATAAGTACTTGGGAATTAAGCCTAATCTCGAGAATTAAAGGATATAAGAAAATATAAGATTATATATATCTATATATACATATATTTTCAATCAATATACATATAACTTTATAAAATAAAAAAACTTTGGACTTAATTTAGAGGGGGACGAATTGGGTCATCTATACAACATATGTACATGTAGATACATATGGAGCAATTTGAAAATTGCAATACAAATCAAATTAATTGTAACAAAGAATCAAGAGGTGTAATATGAACTTTCCAATCTTGGAAAAGTGGGGAGAGACTTTTTTTTTTTTTTTTTTTCAAATTGATGGAGTTTGAATTTTTGGAAAAGATAATATCAAATGAAATTTTGATTGTGACATCCAAAACCAATTCACCTACCCTATCTTTGTAACTAATTAAGAAAAATTTGTACAATTAAAATTTATACTTAATGAATTCCTTTTACCAAAGAATATATATATTCATTAATTATGTTATATATATATATATATTAATTATAACGCAATACATATAATCTTTTAATAATAACATACACAAGAACTATGACTAATTTAATTTTACAATCTTTTATAGAGTAAGAAATGTACCAATATTTAATGAATTTTGATAATATATAAATAAATTTCAAATAAAAATATATATCGGACCTTATGATCTTTTATAAAAAATAAATGTACAAATATTAAATAAATTTTAATATAATACAAATAAATTTTAAATAAAAATATATACAGAAACTCTATTTAATTCAAATTTTAAAAACATAACAAGAGGAGAAATTAAGTTTTAGACTTTGTTAAAATTAATTATTTAATTTGATTACTGAAAAGATTAATTACATTACATTGTATTATTGAAAGATATTATTATCAACGATAAAATTATTGTTTGTAATTATTTTGCATCAAGAATTTATTATTGAAATTTAAGATTTTTTTTTTTTGCAAATTCTTAATTGTTAAAAATCCTTTGTTCTTATTCTATTTTTTCACAGATGAGAGTAGGATTTTGACAGTGACAAGAAAACAGTTTAATTATAAATTTTGTCCAAAATTATAATAATATATATTTTTAACATGGTCCTCACATATGTATACGTACATTACATGAAAATGCAGTACGTACAATATATATATATATATAATACCAGCAGACCTACCCCGATACTGGAGTTCACCATGTCAACCTGTCGTGTAAAAGAATCACCACAAATATATTATTAATATGAACGAAAGTGCTATAAATTCCTAGTACTACATTCCCTTGTCTCTGCTTCCTCCTACATTCTACCTCGGCCGCCTAACATGCATTCTTCCCACTACATTCCACTATTCTTTTTCCTCGTACACTTCCTTCCACCTGCATTACCTTCCAAGCTCGCCAATTTGGCCTCTGATCAATCATCTCTTCTTGCATTCAAACACCATATCAACCCGCAAACCATCTTATCCCACAATTGGACCGCCTCTGCCCCGGTCTGCAACTGGGTTGGTGTCTCTTGCAGTCCCCGCCATGGCAGAATCACAGCTTTGGAACTTCCCGACTTGGGTCTTCAAGGAACCATCCCTCAAAATCTAGAGAACATATCTTTCCTAGTCTCCCTTAACTTGAGCAACAACAGCTTCCATGGCCATCTTCCCAAAAAGCTCACCAGTTTGGGTAGACTCAAGTTCCTCGATTTATCTTTCAATCATTTGAGCGGTGAAATCCCATCAGATTTTGGTGATTTACCAAAGATTCAATCTTTATTTCTCCTTAATAACAGTTTGACTGGTACGATTCCAGCTTCTCTCTTCAATATCTCAACTCTGGAGTCTCTGTCTTTGAGCTACAACTCCATTCAAGGGAAGATTCCGTCCAAGATTTATGAGCATCCAAATATGAAAATACTCGGTTTGGGAAATAAATAGTTATCTGGGTCAATACCCTCAGCCATTTTTAAAATATCTTCCGTGAAATATATGGATTTGTCGTCTAATATGCTGTTGGATAAATTACCAGATGGTATGTGTGATTCTCTTCCGAAACTTGAGTTCCTATCTGTGAGTGACAATAAGTTAGATGGGCAGATTCCTCCCAGTCTTGGAAGATGTGGGAAGCTTGAAATTTTAGGACTTTCAATCAACAGGTTTACAGGGAAAATTCCAAGAAATGTAGGCAACTTGACCAAGCTCAAGGAATTATATCTTTGCAAGAGGCAACTCCACCTCATTCTCCAACTCATGTTACATCACCCATTTCTCAAGAAAGTTCAAGTGAAAGGTCATGAAAGTTGAAGAGCATTTAAAATTTTTATGATAAAATTGAGAATATCACTAATTTTAATATAAATGATTTGTTTTGTCTTTTTCTTGACAGTGAACCAATGAATTTTGATGAAACCATCAAAGATGCAAGATGGAGATAAGGCATGGAGGAAGAGATCAAATCCATAGAAAATAACACACATGGAAACTATCAACTCTTCCTAAGGGACATAAAGCTATTGGTATCAAATGGGTCTATAAAGCTAAAAATGATTCTCAAGGAAATGTGAAAATGTATAAGGAAAGGCTTGTGACTAAAAGATACAAACAAAAACATGGGATTGATTATGATGAGGTTTTTGCACCAGTTGCTCGCATGGAGACTATTTATTTGCTCTTAGCTATTTCAGCTCAAATAAAGCGGAAAATATTTCAACTTGATGTAAAATCGGCATTTCTCAATGGCTATCTTAATGAAGAGGTTCATGCAGAACAACTATTGAGTTTCGTGGTTGAAGGGCGTGAAGATAAAGTGTTGAAATTGAAGAAAGCTTTGTACGGGCTAAAGCAAGCGCCAAGAGCATGGAATAGGTGTATAAACAAGTATTTTGAAGATAATGAATTTGTTCATTGCCTTCATGAATATGCTCCTTATGTGAAGTATCATTCTACTGGTGATATTCTATTTGTGTGTCTATATGTGAATAATCTCATCTTCACGAGCAAGAATCCAAGTTTGTTTGAAGAATTCAAGAAAAACATGTTACTTGAATTTGAAATAACTGATATTGGGCTCATGTCTTATTATTTGGGCCTTGAGGTGAAACAAATGGAATATTGTATTTTTATTTCTCAAGAAGGTTATGCAAGAAAAGTCTTAGAGAAATTCAAAATGCTTAATTGCAATCTTGTGAACGTGCTTATAAAATATGGAGCAAAGTTATCAAAGTTTGATAATGGAAAAAAAGTAGATCCCACTCTCTTTAAAAGTCTTATGAAAAGTTTGAGATACTTTATATTTACAAGGCTTGATATTCTTTTTGTAGTTGCACTAATAAGTCATTTTATGGAAGCTCCTACCACCTCCCGCATGAATGTTGTTAAAAGAGTTCTACGTTACCTTAAACGTATTATTGATTTTTGGTTATTTTATTCCTCTTCTAATGATTTCAACTTTATAGGATTTTGTGATGGTGATTTCGCTGGAGATATTGATGATAGAAAAAGTACAACTGATTTTGTATTTTTTATAGGTGATTGTGCAATTACATAGAGTTCTAAGAAGCAAACTATTGTTACACTATCAACTTGTGAGTCTGAATATGTAACAGCAACTTCTTGTGCTTGTCATGCTATATGGCTTAGAAGATTATTGAAAGAATTTCATTTAACACAAGACGAATTTACTAAAACTTTTATTGACAATAAGTCTCCACAAGTACTAGCCAAGAACTCGGTATTCTAATGAACGAACCAACACACAAACACAAGATATCATTTTATTAGAGATTGCATTGCTAAAAAAGAAGTGGAACTCAAGCACGTAAAGACTGTAGATCAAGTGGCGGATATTTTTATAAAACCGCTCAAGTTTGAAGTCTTTCAAAAGTTACGCACTAATCTTGGATTGAAAAGGAGATTTACAAATTAAATGGAAGCGTTAAAAATTAATTTACAAATTAAAATATAATTAATTAGTTTATTTGTGGTTGAACTTCATAAATTAGAGTTTTTATGTATCTTTTGGTTTAATAGAAGTTATAAGTTATAAATTAAATTTATTATATTTGTTGGTGGTTATAATTAATTTTAATAGTTGTGATAATGCCTATAAATTAGTATGTAATTGAAGTATTTTTGCAAGAATCACAATAAAAAATCTTAAGTCTTCTCATTAGTCTTTCTTGATCTCTTCCTCTCATCTCTAACAGTTTGTTGCAGGAAAATGAGAAGCATTTGGAAGCTAGAATTGAATGTACGTGTTTGGTTTTAAGATTAGCTTTGGATTGCTCTGCAGAGTCGGCTGAAGATAGAGAGAATATGACAGAGGTTTTAGCAGCACTAAAGAAGATTAGACAGAGGTTTCAGAAGAATACTGGACGGAGACGGTGACTAAAACCAAACATGCCATTCAAGTGACACTATGATTTCCATATATATATATA